TCGTTTGTTTTTTAGCTCGCTCCCTACCGATCCAAATGGCCCCAGACCCGTAATATTCTTGTTGTTGATAATCCGATAGCTTTAGTTTTATAAAGTACTTCAAAGCTGTCAAAAAAGATTTAAGTTCACTGGTCGAGCGATATGATGGTAAGATTCTTCCTATAACTTTAATATAGTCACTGTAGCTTTCTTCAAGCATGAGGAAGAGTTCCCCACATTGTTCGGCAAAACTGAATTGTTTGGACCACGAAGCGGGCGCCCGTTGTCTGCAGTTCTTTCGAATTTGGAACAAGCACTACAAGTCCACGAGAACTTTGTAAGTTCCGAAATGACTACTGTTATACGGTCTTTGTACCTGTCAGCAAACTGTGAACGAAAAGTACTTTCTAATGCCGTTGGAAAGGTTTGTTCTATTGTATGCATCGATCTGTTTTCTAGAGTTTGCGCGGTCGTACCATCCATTTCTTCTCTGTTCAATGAACGGGAAGATTTGGTCAAAGACCTGGACAAGCTTAAGAAGAAACAGCAAAAAATGGAAACCATGGAACGAACAGGAGAGAACTTGGCAAAACTATCCAAAGTAATTGAGACTTCTTGCATCACCATACCTTACGTCTGCCACTAGGTTGTGGCTCAATTTGAATCTGGAAACGTTCGTCTGTCGGCGATTGACACCTTGATTGATCGGGACTTGAAAGAACTCACATCTCGTACTGAACTTTTTCTAGGACGAATAATCAAGGTAGGCATCTTGTGTTGCAGATCTTATCTATTTTCTTCCACTGTATGGATGTTATTTATGCATGCTTTCGATCGTCAGACCCATTTTCCATCTAAACTCTTACAGCAAGGGGTATATACTGGAATTACCTTCCAGGTTTGTATTTGTATTCGCTGGACAGTTAGAATTCCGGTGAACCGGTTCACTTCACTTCAGTGTACGTTAGTTCGGGTTGCAAGGGCATTTAGGCGCCGTCCGCGCAGAACGAGAGGGGATTAATAA